GCACTGACAAAATACGATCACATTAGTCGGGCGCAGAGGCGTAGGCAAGGGGGGGGGGGGTTATAACCCCTCCCATGGACTCACACCCCATATATATATATATAAATATATATATATATATATATATATATATAAATATATATAAATATATATAAATATATATATATATATATATATATATATATATATATATATATATATATATATATATATATATATATATATATATATATATATATATATATATATATATATATATATATATATATATATATATATATATATATATATATATATATATGATTTTATACATATGGAAAAATATTCGAACCCCTCCCATGACTGATTCCTGGCTAAGCCACTATTCGGGCGTGTGTCTTGACCTTCGGCCGAACCCCTGGGACACAATCACCGAACCCCTGGGGTTCTATCAAACCCAGGTTAAGAACCACTGCTTTAGTTAAACTTAGTATTCTTACATTACATAGGGACAATGAAATGTCTATTATAATGTTTCGAACCGTGTCGAGCACACAAGTCAATACAACGTGCAGGCAAAATGGTTCAATGGGTGCCCCTCCTAGACTACTCATAGACCATCATATATATTATCATATAGGCCTATCTTTCATATCCGTATTATAAACGTATACATGTGTATGTTCCGACTATGAAACATCATCCTGCTAAAAATCCGTTTATATATGTGTGTGCGTGTGAGGGGGGGGGGGGGGGGTGGGGTGGGTCTAGCTCTCCAGCTCCTTGCACAAATACTAATAATCTTAATTAAAAAAAAATATTTGAAATAAAAAAATGTTAGTGGCTCTTTAAAACCAGGGAAATTTTGAAAATTGTAACTTTTGGCTCTTCCGCTTCAAAAGGTTGCCGACCCCTGGCTAGCTTTAAGTGACGATTTGTTATTATGGGAAAACTTTTTATTTCTTTTAAATATGGAACGCTTCACGAATTTGCTGGTAAAGAATTCATATTTATTAGTTAGGTATTATTATGGGAAAGCAAGGTTAAAAAATAGATTTCTGCTTGGTATTAATTTTATCATTAATTGAGTCGCCTTTATGTACCAGATTTTGGTTACAATTTTTTATCGTTTTTCATCTTAGTAACAGTTTGATACAAAATAACATTATAGGAGAACACATTCTAACATTTGACTTCAATGTACGATTACTTTGAACAAACTTTTACTTGAAAATAACGATTTGAAAAGATCGACGTTTGACGTTATCCGTAACATTAGGATAAGAGAAGAGTATTATACCTAGGATTACGTCCCCTGATAAAGCAACTTTCACAGCAAGAAGCCTGTCGGGGAACACATGTTACCAAGCGAATGGACGCTTCGATTTTCGGGTTTCTATTTTGATCTGAGTTATGCCAACACATGGCGTGTTTTTTTTTCTAATTAAAAAAAATTCTCAACAAAATTTAAATTCGCAGTGACGGAAAATGAGAAGGGCTGAACGGGCAGCAGCCCAGGGCTCCCATTTTTAAAGGCTTTATATGACTTCATTTTGCTTCGAAGGATAATTGATGCACCCAGAGAATAGTAATCTAAGGGGCACATACCAGGGCATTAGATGAAGTAATAATGGGTTGCCCATGCATCATGACCTTGGCAGGTTTAGTCCAAAAGATTTCCAAGCTATATTTTTTGTGCAAGCTTCGGTTACAGAAACTGCCGAAAGGAAACCCGAATTGTTAATCCCATAATCTAAGAAGCTAAACTCTTGTTTGATTTCGGAGTTTTCTCTGCTAGATAAGGTGCTATCCCCATTTAACGAGCCTCATCCGCCCCGGGGGTTCGAACTCGCGAATTACGTGTTAGCAGCCTTGATACAAATATAGCGCATTTATTTTGTCCTGCAAACTGCTTCAATGTCTTCCACGTTTTGAATTGTTGTTTTTTTCCAGGTAATGTCACATAGCCCGACTTTCACCACCTATTCAAAAACAGAGCCTGATTTTTCCTCACTAATCCAGAGGCTGTCACGTCTAATCTGCTTAATGGATTATCCTGTAGGAGATCAAACGAGAGAACAATGCAGAGTTCTATGCCTCTTTTGAATATCACGTGAAATCGTCCCAACATATCTACCCTAACAAAGTACCGATTCAAAATAGCTTCGAACGAAAATTCTCACAAAAGGAACTAAATTTCTATCCACCATAACAGTGTTCTAAATCTACAAAAGGAACTGGTTCAATTTATGAATTCCCTACAAAATTGCCTCCGATGAAAGGGCTTAAACAGAAAAGTCCCAGTAAAGAACATAAATCCTTCTGCCGATATACAGATGTCTATTTTACGCTGCCATTTCGTCGAGAGAATGAATGGGCTTGACAAAGATATACAGCATGCATTACAGCAACCAGAAGTGCCAAGATTAAAGTTGTCCGTGATTTTTGTGTGTACTAATACGTTGACTGGAGTTATTTATATTACTATCACCAAATAAACGCGATATCAATCTGTAACGTCACAAGGCATGGCGAGGGTGACACTTTAGGGGTGTTCCCAATTTGAAAAATTGAAAATATTTACTGTCAAAACAATGTTCAAATAATGAAATAACATGGGGAGTTGGTTCACAACAAACCGACAATGCAAAATTATTGATGAGGGGGCGGGGTGACCAGAGGCGTAGCGACCCTTCCCGGCGCCCGGGGACACTTTTCGATTTGCACCCCCTCAAACTTTCGATTTGCACCCCCCCTCAAACGCTACTGGGGGTGACTCACTAATTTAACACATCGGGCGACACTCGCCCTAGTAACGCCCCTGATATAAACCCCAAGAATGATGTAGATCTAGTCAAAATAAATTGTGAGATATAATTTTAAAAAATTGTGTGAAACGGTCGAAGCAAATGAACAGAGGCGGGGTGTTTCGAAGCTTTTAATACTGGTATAGCTATCCTAATACTGCCTCTAATCCTGAACCTATCCCCGTACCTAACCCAGTCTATCCCTGTAGTTAGTGTTAGTATAATTATCAGAATCATTACCCACTGCCCTGACCCTAACCCTGACCCTATCCACGATCTTAATCCGAACCCTAGCCATAACAGCCGGAAATATTCCGATCCTGTATGCTCGGTCGGTACTTCTCCAAAGAACTAAAACACAGCCATAAAAAATGATACGAAACAAACTCACCTTACGGAATATGCAATGACCACAGTAAACATCGGTAGAATAGCTATTGGAGGATTTTCGTTTCGCGGACGTCCACGACCAACATTTTAAATTATAAGATGATTTGTGATACAGGTTAACACGATATTCAAATATATCATACAGGCTTATCTCCTCAATAACTTCCTCTAAAAAATATGAATACCATACGAATAAATAAGTTACGGCCCTTTAAAGGATTATTGCAATCTTGTGTTAAGAAGAACACACACCGCCGTTCGATACAAATCAGCTATGTGATCCAGCGATCGGAAATCGATTTGAACAGTATCGACCTGATCGCTTCATTACCCTCCCACCTGTTGATTTATGTCGGAGTGTTGTGACTGTTCGAAGACGCGTTGGAGGGTGTTGTTTTTTTATGGAGAAAATATATTCACTTAGCGCTACATAATATGGATTGGGTTTTTAATGGCTAAATCATCACATTAGGAAAACTATGAGTGTATGTAAGAGGGGAAATGAGAAAAAAAGGGAGGGAGGGTGCAGTGTTTCTTTTAGACTTTTTTCTCCGGGGGGGGGGGGGGGGTTTAGAGAGGGGCGCTCGAAACTTTGAGGGGGGCGGACACTGGTAAAATAATAAGTATATATATATTGTTTTCGTTCTAGGGAAGGGAGGGAGGGGGGCGTGCACCCCGAAGAGATGCCTGAAAGAAACACTGTTGATAGCTTAATATTAATAGCTCAGTAACTAACGTTTCGTACAAATATCTACGTTGAAAAAAAAAACAGCTAACCAAGTCATATCGCCTTTCTTAAAGTGTAAGCCTACTCTTCTGAGTTATTTGAAAAATAAAAAAAAACAAAAATCTGCTCCTTTTTCTCGTAGAAGATACAGCTTAATTTTTTGTATATAACTTGGTCCTATCATGCACGAAATGGGTCATGTCTCCTTTCACTATAATCTTCCACTATAGGCTCTGTGTTTGTTGAGGTATAGGGGTAGGGAGGGAGGGGGTGTTTCATCATAAGAATGGGCAACTGACCAAAGCCCATGTCCAGTGGCAGGCCGTGTCCAGTCTTTGTGTACCCAAAACCGGACAAAGGGAGGAGCTAGGGGTGCGGTTGGCTGAGGTGGGTGGGGTATTACGATAGTAAGATTGGTTGTTTACTCGTGACCCTAAGGTAAAAAGAGGAAGTGGTTTAATCCAGTCTCAAACTCGTGGGTACTTGCTACTGGACACCATCACCGTCGTGGTAAGCGCATCCTTAAATTCGTTTAATTTTTATGGGTTGTAATATCTTGTTATATTTTACCAATTAATTTGCAAAACTAAGCGCAACGCGAGTTAATCAGTATTTAGTTAGTAAAGTAAGTAATTTTAAAAAGCTCCCTTTGCTTTTTTGGACTATTGTTTAGGCCTAATAGTTATAAAAGACAAATTTAATTTAAGAAGAAAGATTTAGAAATGTGTAGGCCTATAATATTTTAATTCGTTGAAAATCGGTAATAAAAAATAATTCATGCTAAGTTAGTAGGCTACATTGTAGCAATATCTAAAGACTTCGGCAACCAAAAATTTTTTTGTCCGTGAACAGCTCTACCTGTACATTAACAAGAAATTTTTAAACGAAATCAATGACACGAGCACATTATTTTCTTTTAGCTTTATTCTCTTAAGAAAATAGCATAAACAACTCATTTAATTAACTAAAATAATAGAAAAATCGTAGCGCTGTCTTGTACCGTTCTAGCTATTTATATCAGGTAAACACGCGATATTTGTCATGTGATCGGTCACATGACTTTCAAGCCTCAGTCCATAGAATTTTTTATTTATTTTTATCATCATTTTGGTTGAACTTTTTGATTCAACCGTGTAGATAAAAGCAAAGCCGAGAAGCGATAGGCCTAGCAGAATAGAATTTCGCGTATGCAGCTTTAGTGTGCTACTTGGAAACGTCTCAAATTTAAACGAGTTTGCATTATTGACTTTATTAGCCACGTTGAATAGAAACTCGAGCACCGGTTGTAGATCTACTTGTTGAGAAAGTTGTAATTTAGAATCTATTACAATCATGGCTTCAGGTGCAAATTTAAAATACTTACAAAAATTTATGCGTTGTTCAACTTTCCAATCGTTCAAGAATTCATTACAACTGACGTCTCCTTCTGTTTTTGCTGTATCTCATAGACATTGCTGTTCAACACAATTTCAATATCGGAAAATGTCAACTTCAACACCTCTTCAGGGTAAAGGTGAGTAACACTCGTTAATGTTATTATTGAATTGAACACCCTTCTCAGTCTTCTGCCCTGGTCAATAATTTGATTAATTAATAGTAAATTTAATTTAAGTAGGCCTAATTACTAATTAATTTAATTTAATTGATTAAATTAAGCTCCCCACTTAATTTATAATAAAATTAAATTTTTTAGAGTAGGCTTAGCAATAGTTATTTAAAATACTTAGACAGAGATCTACATGTTTGTGACTTGTATTATGTACTATGTACATTTGTACATCATTACAATTAGCCTCAGATTACATAGTAGAATTGCTTAGTCTAGATCTACATAGTACTTCTTCTTCTTCTTCGTTCTTAATTATTAGTGTTGAAGGGGATCGAGATTTATCTGCCAGTGGGTTTGAACTCGAGACTTTGTTCGAATTTATCAACCATGAGCTTTTTGCCGACTCGACCACGCCTCCAACACAATTAAGCGTTACGTGTCAACTGGTTATGCGCCACTGAGGCCATTGACTCCGATTTCAGCCTGCTTTTCTTTTTGGATTTGCTTCCATAGCCTTTGTCCAACCAAGAACAAACTACAAGGCAGCAGTTGTTTAATTTTGGAGTTGTCTCTCCTAGAAGAGTGGCTGTCCCCAGCTAACGAGCCTCATCTGCCCGAGGGTTCGAACTCGAGACTTTTCGGTTAAGCAACCATGAGCTTTACCGACTCGACCACGCCGACCCCCCTACATAGTACATACAGGCATACTTTACAACATAAATAATAAGGGCTTGGAGAGGGGTGGTAAAATTGCATTTAAAAGTAGGAAATACAGGCCTAAACATTTTCCATGATTCGTGAAATTTTCCTTGTTACTGTTAACATCTTTGTAATTGTCTCTAAAACTTTAGATAAAGTGTTATTCACACCTGGGCCACTTGGTGTAACTATGAGTGTGAAAAAGGCTATGCTACGAGATGTGGGATCTAGAGACAAGGAATTTATTGAATGCATTAAATTCATTCGCAGGCGAATTTTAGAAATTGCAGGTAATTATTTATTATTTTTAGTTTTGATTTTATTGTTTTGCCCTGTTTTAACTTTAAAACTACATAAGATGTTATTAGCATGTAATCATTTTTTTTAAACATAATGTAACAAAATGTATGATTTTAAAAAATAACTTTGATTCCTATTTATTGACTTATGTGTTATTGATAGTTTTGTTTAACATTAAAAAAATTGTCTTTCTACAGGTGTTTCAGACAAGGATTTTTGTTGCATTCCAATACAAGGCAGTGGAACATTTGCTGTTGATGCATCTTTTCAGACAGTTTTACCACGGGAAGGTGCCAAGGTATGTTGACCCAGAATCATTTAAAAAATTAATTAAGGAAATACCTGGGTGAATAAATATTTTTAAATGTATATTACAAACTTTTAATACTTAAAAGAAAGGTACTTAATAAATAGTTTTGTAGGAGCAATTTAAGTCTTAATGATGCAATTGTGTAATTCTCTTTATTTACATATGCTATAAGTTTTTTTCTGCAGTTATGTACATAAATTACATGAAGTTAATTTCTTTTGATTTAAAATTTTACAGGCTCTAATAATTGAGAATGGTGCCTACGGCAAGAGAATGGCCAGTATCTGTAAAGCTGCTGGTATCAGTTGCGACGTCCAGAGTTTCAGAGAGGACAGCATCGTCGAACCCCAGGTGGTGGAGGATGCCCTCAGTGGACGCACCAAGTACGATTTAGTGTCCATCGTGCACAGCGAGACCAGCTCTGGCGTCATTAACCCAGTAATGGAGGTGGGGAACATTGTGAAAGAGCTCTCTCCAGGTGAGTTAACAGCTGGTGTATCTTTGGTGGGAGCGTGTGGTTAAGTTGTAGATCTCATGAGTGACCTGTCCTGTGCACACCTGTGCTGATGGTGAGGTGAAAGAGATTTGTTAAAGGAAGTCAACAGTGTTTTGGCTTAGTGGTAGAGCTCATGGAGGCTAATCTAAATGTAAAAAGAGTTATATTCCCTGCTTGGTTCTAAATGAAGTTGATTTGTCCACTGTAACCCAATGGGTACTTGGTTTAAGCTGGTACAAGTAATGCTCAACTAACCCACACAATGCACCATCACTTTCCTAAAAGTGTTTTTTACTTTTTTTTTTTACTTTTATGGAACTAAACTTAATTTAAAATATCCTTGACATACCATTTGTTAGATTTGCATGCAATTTAGTGATGCGTCTATTGTGTTTAAACTATTGTTGCAGATTCTATCTATCTGGTTGATGCTGTCAGTAGTTTTGGTGCGGTTCCTCTAAACATTGAGGACAGCCGTATTGATGTTTTGATCAGCTCCGCCAACAAGTGCCTTCAGGGTGTACCAGGATTTGCCTTTGTCATAGCAAGAAACAGTGTCATGAATAATTGCCAAGGTATGGACATAATAAAATTTTTGTAATGAAGATTGGTATATAGTTTCCGTTATTTATTTTCTGCTTTCAAATTAATAATAAAAGTTCGGTAGACCTACCTAAAAGATTTTTGAACAGCATAGCAAAATAATGTTTTTCCAAGTTCCAAAATCCTGTTTAATTCTTTAACTCTCAACTACTTAACTTGGTTTCTGTTAGTAAATGATATTTTAATTATTTAACTCCAAAACTGTTTGGAATCTACAGGTAACTCCAGAAGTTTAAGTTTGGATCTGTACGACCAGGTGAAACAGTTGGACAAAACAAACCAGTTTAGATTTACCCCAGCCACCCACTCCATGCTGGCATTCAAACAAGCCCTGTTGGAGTTTGAACAGGAAGGGGGAGTTGAAGGCAGAGCTAGAAGGTTGTTTCCCTTTCCCAGTACTAATTTTATAAATAAATGTTGTGAAGTGACAGGCATTTACTGAATCTCAAAGGAATTTGTTTCCATTTCCAATCCAGTTTTTTAAATAACTGTGTTGATAATAAGTTACAGACATTTACAGAATTAAAAAAAATTAAACATAATTTTCTTTTTCAGTAAATAAATGCATATACAAGCATAAATAACAAATTATAACATAACTTTTAGTATATAAATTTAGATAAACATTTTGCTTTTAGAGACTTTAATTACATGATTGTTATAAAAAACAGTTTTTCGTAAAGTTTTTAATTTCAAATGAATTTTGATGTTTAAAGAAATTTGGAGTTTAAGCCTTTAATTTTGGAAAAAAAAGGCCCTCGGCGTAGATGCATATAAAAACTAGAAAATGATTGGTATTTTAAAATTAAATGTTTTGCTTTAGGTACATCAACAACAGGACTATATTGCAAAAAGGCATGTCAGAGCTTGGGTTCAAAGAACTCCTGGACAAAAAAATTGCAGGTCACATAATCACCTCCTACCTGTACCCTAAAGATCCAAACTTCAACTTCACTGAGTTCTACAACAGATTGAACGACAAGGGTCAGTTTGATTTTTCATGAAATCTCTTTTGTTTTAAAATTGTTTTTTTTTTTGAGAATAATACAAAGTTATTATGATCAGTCGACTTGTTTATTTTTGTTTCTAAAATATTAGAATATGAGAGTTTAAATATTTTTTTTACTGTATCATCAAAAGTTCCCTTTTCAAATCTTATTTTCCATGGGGCAAGTGAAGTAGAGTTCACCTGTTACTTTTACCTAGGCATATGAATGAATAGTGTGGTCAGCACTATGCCCAGCCGTATTTATTTTCCCCAATTTGAGTTAGGTAACCATTAGAGCTGAGTGGACTCAAGGACAGTCTAATGATTTGAAACCGGGTAGTTCCACTGACTTGAAATCAGATTAAAACTTGATACTTTCCGGGTTAGTAGTCCAGCGCTCTACTTCTAGACCACACCATTCCACTGTATCATATAAATTTATATTAATTTTTAGTTATGCATTCAGCATTTTATTTTCTTTCTTTAGATCTTATGATTTACACTGTAATAATGCTGGCATATAAATTGATTGTAATTTTTTGTTATTCAACATGTTTTTTCTTTCTTTAGATCTTGTGATTTACCCTGGGAAAGTGCTGGACATTGACTGCTTCAGGATCGGAACAATTGGAGACTTGCATGCTGAGGATATGAAAAATCTCCTGAAAGCCATTCGGGAAGTGTGCAATGATATGAAAATTAAAATACCCATTCAGAATTAGGGAAACAAATTTGTTTAATTTATCCTAACGTGGGTTGCTATAGGTTAAATTGTGTATGCAATATTAGGATGTTGTAAAAAAAATTTACAGACCAGTAACTTCTTCATTTTACATCTTTTTAAGCTTTTTGGGGAATATGTACAATAGTTAAGATCTGTTTATTATCTAGTCTGCTTGTTATTAAAAAAAAATGTGTTTGTGTAATTGATGTATTCTTTTTTGGTTATTTAAATTCCAATGGAATCTACACAATTTAAAAAAAAAATGGTTAAAGGACTGTCAACAAACAGAAGTTGTATACATTTTTATTTCTAATTGTTTTTTTTAAATATATATTATGTGTGTTCAGGTTAAACAGATGCCAAAATGTGTTTTTAAATTTCCTCATCTACAAAATGTAAACCGATGCAGAAAGGGTGTGCTAATCATTTTTCTACATATCTTCTGTTCTCCACCTTTTTTCTATAGACATGTTTTTTAATGGTGAGTTCAGTATAACCAGATACTTGTATTTGAAACAAATTTGGTCAAATTGGTAATATCTAAGCTTTTATTTAGAAATTCCAAATATTTATAATATGCATGTCATCATTTCTTACAGGGTATCTAAGTCACTGCTGTTGTAATTTATAAATGTATCTCTTATCTGTACTGTCATATGTCAGATCATGCATATATTGTTTACACAATATTTTTAAAATAATGAATTCTTTGCTCATCCAACTTTTACGTGCATAATATTCAAATTTACTTTTTGTACAAAATTTATCGGGTGTTCTCATTGAAAACACACACAAATTAACCAAATATTGCAATCTGAAGTGTTTTTGTAAACATTTTCTAATAATTTTAGAATAAGCATACAAGTATACGTCACATATATACAAATATATAGGCAGTTATTAAATTGCCATTATATTGCTAGTATTGCCTGTTATATCTTCCACATAACACTTTTTCTCTGATGCATACATAAACATATAATGTAAAATGCTGTTACATTGTTGGAATGGAACTATTTCTATTGCAATAGCAAGATTAAACTCAAGTGTTAAAACACCTTATTTCGATAAAAAGTACAGAAACAGTTCATAGAACCCCACACTCCATCTGGCTATGCATTGTCCTTACAAAGTACTTTTGTCTATCTCTTGTGTCAAAATAACACTTTGGTGTAATATTGCTAGTTCAATTACAGCACCTGTTACCACCCCCTCTCAATCTGTATTGCAGTATTATCTGTTTCTGTATTTGCATCGTATTCGACCTTTTGATTCTGTTATATGTCTAATGCAGGGGTGGACTAGAGTTTTAAAATGACTTTAAATTTTTAACTGCATTGCCCCTTTCCTAGTACATCACTGGTATTCTTCAGGGCGGCCCAGTCCACCACTGTTCTTGTTTGACGTTTGTGTATTTTACATCTTGGCATACTAACTTTGGGGTCGATATTGATGTTCATGTCATATTATGGTAAATATTGCATTTATATTACAGCTGTTGAATGCCATGATATTGCTATAAATATTCCTTACTGAAGCTCAAGTGTGTTTAAAATGTTGGATTGTGTGAAAGAGTGAAGCTGGTGGATATAAAATCACAGTGGAACTGTAATTGCATTTTATTGAGTCTTCTGATTGGTCTTAACACTAATGTATGTGTGGTTGATGTTATAATTTATGTATGTTGTTAGCATCTATGTATGTTTGAGGTTTTCTGGATTTCTAATATAAAAAATTTATGTAATAAAACATACATGATGGTTATGTTCCACAATTTTATTTTTTGTGTGCTAGGGGATACCATCTTACAATTTATATTAATGTACTAAATAAGAATTTATAATTTTAAAAAAATGCTTCTTTTTAAAATTTAAGATCTAACATTAAAATAATTGTTAATAAAATTTTTTTTTTGTTTTTATTTGATACATTATTCTCAAATAATTATTTCAAATGAACCAATGAAGGAAAACTTAATTTTTTATGCTATAACCAAGCCTGGCGGAAAGAAAAATTCATTCCTGGCAACAATGCACTAAGTGTAGAATTTTCAAATTCTGGCCACTTCAGTTCGCCTGACACAGTTTTGATAAGACATAATTGTTTCCACCGCTGAATATGCTAAACCTTGCTTTTCATTGAACACAGTGGTACAATCTTAAAATTTGTAAGCAGAATAAATACTCGATTTTACACACAGTATTTTCAGACAGGTTCATCTAAATCCCAATATCGAAGAATGTCACGACACTTTAGGTAAAGTTGTATTGTTTGATGCTTCGCGGAGTCGATTGTTTACAGAAGCTCAGCTCACAACTAAATCAACAAGGGCACGTTGTGTAACTCTTCGCAGGGGCGGTAATTACCATCTCTTTACTAAACCACTGAACACGACTGTTGTTTACTCTTTGAGCACCGTTTTCGGGTTTTCCCAATTCTAAATAAGGGTACAACGCTAATGTTTTATAGAAACACAGGCAGGGGAGTTTCGACATGGAGGCTGCGAGGTCCCGCCTGGGGATCTCACATTCTCCGCCGTCGTCGTCGATTCGCGGACACTTCAGTCTTTCGGCGTCTGCTGCGGCGTTTTTCCTGCACGCGCAGTAAGGGTGCTCGGATTCAAAGCGCGTGTTCAGGCTGTGAAATGGGTCACAAGAGCTCATCTCGTGGTTGCAGGACCGGAACTTCCGGCAAGCCAGGCCACGTGATAAAGGAGTTCCGGGATTATTTCTGAAATAAGATCATACAGGTGGTGTTACTACATAACACAGGATGGGTGGCAAAATTATAAAGTAAGGGATCTTTCACTGCCACCCCAACCCCCCTTTAATTACCGTACAGCCAAATGACACTGAGAAATACAAATAATCACTCGGCGTGGTCGAGTCGATAAAGCTCATGGTTGCTTAACCGAAAAGTCTCAAGTTC